ATTGCTCGCATTGCTCGCATTCTCGTCGTTCTCGCTCGTATTTATTTCCAAGCTGTCCGCATCAAAATGATATAATGCATAAATTTTTTCCTCCCCTCCCCCTCCCCGGTGTCATCCGTCCGGCCTGTGATACCCCTTTTGAATTGTCTTTCGCGCTGCGAAATTGTTTCATTGTTACGCCGGGTCGGGCGTGCGCTAAACGACGACGGCATTGTTAACATGTTCGCGGATAAAATATTTACGTGTCAATTACAGCGCCGCGGCGAAGTATGTTCCCGTTCTGTCCGCTCGCGAGCTGCGAATTTTCGCTCGCGCGCGGAAAAAATCCGATTTGCCAAACAGTGTCAAGTAGAAAATTAAACGGGAATTTCGTAAATTGCATTCGGGCGAGGGAAAAAAAAATTGATTTACCAGGGGGAGGGGGGAGGGGAGGAGGAGGGTATAACGAAGTAACAGCGTGGATATTTCCCTCGCTAAAAGTGTTACGCAGCTCGGATCGCGGCCGTGCTTTGTGCTGCAATTTTGACAGCTAATCGTAATTACTAGCGTTCGATAACGGTCCATTAAGCAATCCGTTAATGATGTTTTATACATGGTATATATTTAGCGACTGGCGCAAATTAACACTGTCGGAAACTGATTAAGCGGTCTCGGGACGCGAGAACGATATTTATTAACCATACCCTGTCGTATACTCGTATACTCGAAAGATTAAAATTTTTTAATCATTTATCGAGAATAGTTCGTAGACGCTGAAAAGGTTATTCCCGATATGAAAGAAACATTTGTTCTCCTTCAATTAACATTTGGTACTAAAGTTTCCGGAGAATCGCAGACATTCAAGTAAAAGAAACAGAAAATCTTTGACGATACAATAAGAAGAATTATTCAAGTCTCCAAATCTATAAGATATCTAACGGAAATGTTTCAAGTGGTCATTATGACCATTTTGATAGTTTTAATGTTAACCACGATTAAATTAGTACACGACACATCCGAACTGTTACTTGAACTCGAGTGTCAGGAAGTAATTTTGAACCAAACTTGCAAACCTAAGGAATTACCAGGTGCCAATCACAACCGTTTGCCATCTTTTCAATTTTACGTTGAGAATTATGCCAAAATTTCCTGATCGTACCCCATCGTTATGCCTTGAGCACGGAACGACGAGAAAGAAGCGTGAAACAACGAGCGTGCAATTTCTTTGCAACGGAGATTACGAAGCCTCGAAGATATTCATTAAAAGGTCGGCTGTGTGGAAGAGCATGACGGTGTTTATGCGAGCACAGCAGCAAGACACTAGCGGAGGAAAAGCGGGACGCGGTTACGTTTCCACAACTTTTCAGCCGGGTCGAACAACGAAAAAAAAAAAAAGAAAGAAAGAAAAAAAACGAAAAGCGAAAGAACAAGAAGGAGGCGGAGGCAGAGAAGAAGGACAACAAGAGCAGCAGAAGCAGCCGGTGGTAGCAACGAAAAGAGGGACACGACGTTGGGAACCGTGGCGTCGTATTGAAAAGTTTCGCAGAGGCGCGTCTCATTTTCAAATTACTGGCACCGCCCGACAGCGTCGAAAGCCAGAAGGAAAGGAACGGAAAGGAAATGAAAAGAAAGGGGGGCAGGGAGACGGAGGGGGGTAAGGGCACATTTTAATCAAGCGCTTATTGAGTTGAAAACTCGAATGTTATTGCAAGTGGGGCAGCAAGTTTCGCGGGAAGCACGGCCGCAGTTCCACTTATACATCGCACTACGGAATGGAATCTGCATGGTCGGATCGGTATAGCTCTCTCACCACGGTTGCGTGCCGGTCTCCGATAATACGGAATCGATATTTTACACTCGGCGGGCGTCGTTAAAGTTAACGCGCGATGCCGTGGCGGATCCTGGCCGGGATCCATTTACTTTATGGCGCGAATAATCGTCCTTTTAATTATTTCACCGTCGCGTCGTACGTCGCGTTTATTTCAACCGGTGTTAAATGACTGTCAGAGGCACGTTTGCTTGATTTTCGCGCGTTGCCCGCCAACTGGGGTTTAATGTCAGCGCCCGCTTATTTTGACGGCCGCCTGTTTAAACAGCCTCCTGTCAGCCTGTTAAAATCCTGTCAGCCGGCCGTGAAATTACGAGGTAAATCGAATTTTTCGACACATCATACGGAGTAACAACCTCCAGCGATATAATTACTGATTTTTTTCGAACGTTCTTCTACGTCGCGTTGCAGCGCAGAAATTCCAACGAGCAGTTTATTTTCTTTCATTTCAATTCCTTTCTCCATCATTCAAGTATCATCCTACATATATCTATACGATTTGTATAATTTTCCACGCGAAATCATGTCTGTTCTCGAACTTCTCTCCTCGAGAGAAGAATGTCATCGATGTTGATTCTTTACTCGCAATTTCTATCTGCTTCAAACAATCGCGCACTTTTCATTGCCAAGGTTTACGACGTCGATGTGGCACGCTACGCATCATCCTATCAACCCTCTCCCTTTTCCTACGGTGCTCCTTCTTTCTTTTCTCGTTCACTGTTTCTTGCTGCCTCGTGGAATGCGAACATTCCAATCGATACCGTTTCCATAAATTAGCTGCCCCTCGTTGGGACTCGGGCACGAACGAGATCCTCCCATTTTGTTCTTTCCTTGCTTGCTTTCCTTTCGCCGAGAGATTCAATTCAAGATGACGGCACAGAATTTTGATTTTTTAGGAGAACCGACCGTTCTACATCGTTCGTTTCTACGTGCGTGTCTGGGAAATTCTGGCAGCGTGGCAGACCGGGCAATCTACGATTCGACGCCCTTGCACATTCGCGCGGCTAGTCGTTGCAAGCTCGTTTCAAGCGTTTCGGCTAACGAGCATATCGGAAGAAACGCGGTTGCACGCGGATCTCGTCCTCCGCTCGGACAAGGTTCTCGAGCCGCCAGCTCGAGAATGAAAAGCTGAATTTGCTGTTCAGGACGCCAGGACGCGGAAAGTTTCGAGGCGTAAGGGCGATTCGTAATTTGAAAACGGCAACGACCGCGAGCGCCGAGAAAATGTAATTCGGTCGACTTGGCCGCGGTGGCGAGAGGCAAGCGCTTCCTCGTCCTCCGTTTCTCCTTTCTCCATCGTCGGGGCAATATTCGAGGTGATACTACAAAGAGTCCTTTACAAGATGCTCGTTTGCGAGCGTCTAACGCGGGCAAAGCGAAAATATTTCAGCGAAACATATTCTTCTCTCCCCTCACCAACCAACCAACATTTTTTAGCTTCGCCGCGAGAAAGAAACTTCGAACGTGGACAAGTCGACGAGAAACGATACTTCAAACACATAGGCGCGTGTCACGGTGAAAGAATTCGTCAAGCAGATATCCTCTCGCGAAACTGACTCCTCTATCATCGAACGGTGATTGCGGCTTCGATAAGGAAAACGTCGAATCGTCAGGATGAATCGCCAACGGCGCATTTCGAAGAACTGTTACGTCCGACTACAAGCCAGAATCACGATACACTGCCGGTGTGTAGAGGAGCCAAGATTTCACCAGGCAGCCGTGCTTCTCGACAGTTCTGGAAAACTACCACGTCCCCGAGCCAGTATTTCATAACCCCTCGGTAACAGTCTGCCAACCCTCGTTGATTGAACAGATACGAGTTCAGAGCTCTAGCGGCGGCGAACGAATAACCTTCGCCAGTGGCCGACATTAAACTCTCCTCTTCTCTGTTAAAATACGTTCCTTCCTCCACGTACACACGTGTACATGCGTGTGTATCTGTCTGTCGGTCGCGTATCGTCCTCCTTTCCCTTTCTGTCGGCCGCACGTGTACGAGAATAGAGCAACATCGTCAGCGGAATTTTAAATTCCCTTGAAACTCCGCACCGTGTCGTGCGCGCGACACTGAATTTTCCCCCCGAGTCCCGTGCACGTGAAAGTTGGTGGTTAAAGGATTGTATACGGCCATTGGTATTGTAGACGAGCCTCGGTCCATAGATCGAACATCGACAATCGATTCCGCGGATTCTCTGGAACGTTGCGTGTCTCGCGGGAGACAAATATACGACCGCGAATGAAATTTGCAACGATTGAATTTTAATTATGCGGGATAAGGAAGCCTCATTGTTCGAAATTTCCCGCTCGGTCTAAAGGCTCCCACACACGTCGACATCTAGGTTTCGTGAAACCTGCATCAAATTCAGTTACCTAGAATCGATGCATTGCCGTAGATTTCAACGATTGTGTACGGCCCTTTAAGAACCATCGTCAATTATCGCCTGCTGCGTATCCGATGCGATTGTCGCAGCGAAAGAAACTTTATTTAGCCGCCCTGGTCTTAAGATACGTACGATTGTGGGTGTGGGTGTGTGAAGTGCGTATGAGAGGTTCTGAGGGTGAGAGACTTTGCTCAGAGAGTCGTGACAGCGTGCAAGTCTTGAGAGAGTTACACAGAGAGCTTGATATTTCTTTGTCGTGTTCGGGCTTATTCAGTTTTCCTTTACCTAAACTTTAAGAAACTTTAATTTTATTATAAACTATTATAAACACGATGTAATTTTATTATTTTTTCCGCAATTGTAACGATCCAACTCATGAATCGTGAAATAATTCAAATTGACCGCACTCGACTGTGCTATTGTAAATTCGTCGCATTTACGTTCTGCTTGTGCAGACTAAGCAAGAAGAAGCTTGGCAGAATTGCGTGGTTCGTTGTTCTCTCGTTCGATAGGGAATATTTGGAAAAAAAAAAAAAAAAAAAACGATAGTCGGCGGAGAAAGAAGGTCGGTTACCTTCGTTTCTCATTTCCGGCTCGACAGACAGTTCGCGGATCGGCCTGTAATTGCTAAATGTAGCGTGACGCGGTAGCCGAACGGCAAATGGAAAACTAGGCTGTATATGTAAAATTGATAAGAGCGAACGCAGACACCTGGCTATCGGTATTATGTTCCGCTTTGCCGGCGAATAACCTCTCATCGGACAGCTCTGCGTATCGAATCAATCAAAACGACCACGTTCGCCGATCCCTTTGACGGTACAAATCGTCGCGCAGACCGTTCGTTCGTTGAAAACAAAGAATCATCGCGTAAACATTGAAGAAAGAGAGAGAGAGAGAGAGAAGAATAAGGGGGGAACCATTTCCCGACGAAATACGCAAGAAAACGGAACCTGGTGATGGTCCTTGAGAATCGAAAGCATCGTATAATTAGGATGAAAACGGCCTCGCTCTGTATTTAACCGCGCGCAGCTGCGTTTCTCTAATCAGCGTCTAAGGTATTTGCAGAAGGCAGGCAAGCGTCAAGATACTAATTCGTCGGAACAGCATTACGAGGTCCTGAGGCATGGGCAATCGATACGGATGTAGTCCCGATCTTCCGCAGCGACGCACGTAGCTACACGAAGGCGGATACTGCCGCCGGTATTTGTCTACTTATCTCGAGTAAATTCAGTCTACATCGTGTCAACGCGCGTCCTCGTCACACCGGGATCACAACGGATTTGAAGATGCAAATGCCGCTGCCATCTATTTCCATGCGTGTGTCCCTCTCCCCGAGCGTAACCCTGTTTTCGTGGACGATCCGACGAAAGGCAGACGTTACTCGCGACCGGAAACTCCGGCTGTCGGCTCCGAGCAGCTCGCTGGCGTTTCCCCTTTAAAAAAAGGAAGAAAAGTGAAGCACACCACTCGAAAGCAGCACGTGAAAAGCGTGCACGCGAAGTGAGAGAGACGTCGCACGGAGGAAAGAAACGAGGAAGACCACGGAAGGAAGGAAGGGCCGGAGAAGAAATACTTGTAGGTGGATGTGTGTCATTCTGGATCCTTTTTATTGGCCACTTGGCTGCGTGCCGTGAGCTGTCGTTAATTAGAGAACTCATGGAACGTTCACGATTGCCGACGTGGAACAGGGAAGAGAGACATTCGGCGTGTTAAACGTTCGGCCAAGCGAGTATTGTGTCTCGAAGGATATTTCAAAGCGAGGGATCACCTGCCGTTCACTCGCCGGCGGGGTATCGTAAAGCGATACTGTTAGCTTTTATGCTTCGTTCTATCAACTTATCGAGTGGCTCTTTAGAGTTTCCCCGGGAGTTTTCGACGGCAGCCGCCGTCGTTCACCTCCTATTCGAATTCACGAGCGAGCCTGAACGTTCGCTCGTTTCGAACGAATTCTCGGTTATTAGGCAAAGTTTACGAAATCTCCAGAAGCAGGACGATTAGCCTGGTTAAAAACTGGCTGGAATTGAAAAAAAAAAAAAAGCTGACGACGATACAGCCGTCGCGTATCGGACTGAATTTCATCGAGAGTTGCGTCGAGAGACGGAGAGAAAGAGAAAGGGAGTTTATTTTCATAAAACCGCGTAATACCGAGGTCGACGCACGGCGATTCCGTTTGAAAAACGCACACATGAAAACATCGCGAATAAAATGACGTTCTCGCGATGGTCACGGGCGTGGAAACGGCTGCGCAAGAAGTAAGAGGATAACAGAGTAAAACACTTAGTCCGCGGAGCTTTATACAGCCGGTAGCGCGAAAAGTCAAACCGTAAGCCCTCCACGGAAGCAGGAAGGACGGAAGTTTATTGTTTCGGTAGGTTTTTCCCGCGAGCGTTAAGCCAAAACATTCCCCAGAAGTAACTTCGTTCCGTGGTCTTAGGCGGCCGCAAATTTCAGATATACACATATACTCGTTCACGTGGGGAACGATGTTGACGCCCTGTGCGAAAGTGCAAAAAATGCGATGAAAAATCGTTGAGAGTAGAGAAAAAAATTTGCCATGTTACAGGGAGAGTGAGTGAAGAACAATTCGGAAGAAAATGATACTTGCGTTTCTCTTTCGCCTGCGTTCACTCGCAACTGAGCAGCTACGTTTGAAAAGAGAAAACAACGATAAATGAGGGTACGTAGTTATCCGGCGCGGGACTCGCTAAATTTCGAAGATAACAGTATATCGTTGAAGAGAGGCAGTTACTCCTAATCCCCAAGCCGGTGCTCGTACGTTTTCATGGGATCTCTCGCCGGCTGCCCGTTCGCTGTTCGTTGCCCCGTGACGTTATTAAACCGTGATGGTGATCGTGATTGTGAGATATGTGCCGTGATTTGTAAGAAAGAATCCTGGAGGGAACGATCTTTCGACGAGCGAACGCGAGCGAAACAAAACCGGTTTATGAAAATGCGAACGCGTTAGCCACAATCCATCGGAGTGCGCTTTTAGAAATATTGCGAACGGGGTTCCTGCCAGCGTCTGTACGATCGTTTGCAATGACACGGGGTAGCTGGGTAAGTGCGTCGCGGTATGGCAGCGTCCGCATAAAATGCAAAATATGTCATCCGTTTCCGTATTATCATCGTTCCTCTCTTCGACGTGCTGATCGAGTACTCGCCTACCGTAGAACGCTCCTCCTTGTCGAAATATAGTCGAACGTGTATCACGACAGCGTCGATTGACGACTGTCGATCGATCGAGCCTGTTGTTTGTCTGGCGGACGATACACAGTTGCTATATTGGCTCGCGAAAGTATTTCGACATTTAACGCTGAAAACATCACGTACGTTTACGTATATTGAATATATCGTACGTGTGAAACATTTTGGAATTTCATTAACGTTGCAGTGAGACACGACTGCCATTATTATTATTATTATTATAAATTGTCTACAGTTATTCGAGTTATTACTTTTGTGAATCTATGAAATTAGTCAACAATAATATGTAGGGCAATGTTGTTACTCATATTTTGCATATCGACATAACCGAGGTTACGAGAAATTGCATATTATTCGAATCAAGATGTATTAGAATCTTTCCAACGAGAAAATACCGAATAACTGGCGAGCGTGCATGGTTATTGCCGTGTAACCGCGTTCTCGCAATAATTGCACACCATTTTCCCAACTGCAACGCGACTAATTTCGATTTGCGTCGAAGCGAGCATTGTCAATGTTCCAAAGAAATATTTCGTTAAACCATCCGCATGTAATGAGTATTCTTCCTGATAATTTTATATCAGTATTCGATCCGGGCATCGATTAAAATTACACGTATCATTGTAATTTTCATCGAGAATAAATTAATGATATTTACAAGAGATATTCGATGTTATCTGAAACTATTTGAATTTAATTTACAAACCATGAGATTTCTTCGTAAAATGACAAAAGTTGTTGCAACGAATTCAATGATTTTTTTTTTTTTAGAAAGAATATCCCTGCCTTTGACATCGCTATTTGTACAAAGCTAAAAAGAAGTCTCCCATTAATTACGCTAATGAATGGTGTAAAAAAGATAAGGTATCCCTTTATAAAAACTTTGAGAAGGAAAATTATAAGCAAAAGATAATTGTCAAGTAAGCTACGAGAAACATGTATACGATGGAAAGTGGAAAAGTTCGTGGAACGTCGCGAACAAATGAACTAACTCTGCTTACTCGTGCCGTCTGACCAATGGACGATCTATTCTACTTGCAAGTCAAAGCTTCGATGTAATATCGTTTCCACAAAATTCCAACTATCTATTTCCACGTTTTTATTGTTTCACGCACCAAAATACGTATTTTCAATGCTTCCGATCGACTAGATTTAATCTAATTGGAAAATTATTCGAACGTATTTTTAACGGAGACATATTGAGAATATTTGCAATGTCGCACCGTCGTATGATATAATTTCATTGTGTAGCCAGAATAATTCCCCTCACATCTCGCGACGTTATCTTTTAAATTTAGATGCACGGTGGATTTAGGAAAAATAGGTTTGCTTATCTGCTCAACGTATTTTCACCGCGACGGTGGCACGAACCAGCTCGGACATGTTTCCCAGGGTGGAAATGCGTTAGAAATACGTCTTTAAATGGGATTCCGGTCGGCGACGAGTCTCTCTCCCTCTCCCTCTCTCTTTTTTTCTGCTGGGTACTCTAGCTCGCTGTTCCTGGTACCCTCTTTAAAGTTTCATGCCTGGTGGGAATGGCATCGTAGCCGTGGCACTACGGTTAAGCGATGCAGATCACAGCAAGACGAAGGGAGAAACCGCAATCTTGATCCGGCAGAATCCTTCGTTTCTGTCGCTCTTCTCTCCTGCACTTAAGCTTCAATGAATTATTACTCCATGCCATTTACCGTATTCACTTACATCGCCGCATTATTTTCGTAAATTGCCACACTCTCGTGTGCGATACTCCCGGCTTTGAAACTACACGCTTTCACTTCGCGCAGAAGACTCTACGAAAGAGCTTGAAAACGGAATGAGATATTGCATTTCAAACAATTCGCAAAGACAAAGATAAAAGTAACGTCCGACTTTTCATTAATTATTCAATAATCGAATGGTAATCGAGGTTCTCAATCACATGGAAAATAGGCCCGACTATTGGAAATGGTATCGAGAGGAAAGAATGCCCTGGTTTTTCGGCTTCGAAAGTGCTACGCGGTGACGTACACCGTATCGAGATTAAACTTTAAGGTATCACGTGAAACCATACCTTTCCCCGTGAGAGTCGCTCGTAACTCTCCGGTATCGGATCGGTGTGTCTCTCCTCCGGGGCCGTGAAACCAGGGTAATATCCATTTCGAGGTGCGGCACGTCGAAGATTGATCTCTTTCTCTCTGCCTGCTTGCCCACTGATCCAGAAGAGACTAGTATCTTAAGCAGTAACAGGGAATAGAGACTGACTTTTGCAATTGTACTTCCCACCTCGGCGCTTCCCTTTCTAAACTCTACGCCATCCAGCTCAAATTCCCCCCGTGCAATTTCCCTCCTGCGATCAAACGACGTGGTTTCAAGACCCACTGTTTTACACTGATTACCTCGCTACACTTATCGTTTTATTCAATTATTAACAAACGGCACTATCGACTTCCAACTGTCATGGAGGTTAAATTTTCCAATTCGAGTTTGTCATTCTAGAGAAAGGCTTCTTTCTTTTTTCATAATTTTATAAACATAATCGAAGGAAACGGGATGTCACTGGCATGGAAAATTACAGCGGCGCGCAGAAACGTTTTGACGAAAGCGTTCCACTTGCTACGCGTATCGGAGCAACTTGCTGTATAACTCGCAGGTCGTCGCGTTACTTTCAGCGGAAGTCGATGTTTTTCGCTCACGAAGTTCGGCCGCTTTTGCGGAGGCAAGGGAAAAGGAAGACACGACGTCAAAGTCTTCCCGTGATAAACGCTCGCATGCACGTCTCGGTTCATATGCCGAAAGTGAATGAAAGTTGGCGCGCGGCGGGAAAAGGAGAGACCGAGAAAAAGCCGGGAAAGACCGTCAAGCGTTTGATTTATAGACGGGGGGGAGCAGTGGCGCGCGAAATCGAAGTACGTGTCGCTTTTATCGCCGGTTCCGTTCATTAGCGCTGAATAAATAAATGTTACGAAGAAAAACGAAATAAGAGAAATATGTATATACATGGGCTAGAAGTACGGCGAAAGAGAGAGAAAGAGAGAGAGAGAGAGAGAGAGAGAGGGAACGCGAACGAAAATAAATGGTAACCAACGGAGGTACTTCAATTCCGAATCGATATACGAACCTCGAGCTTTCGCCACCCGTTATATCCTGTCAGATTCCATTTTCACCGCGGAAATACATTTTACTCGAGAGGATAATCATCGAAGCTGTATCAGTTGTATCGGAGCGACCGAATTTCCTTCCCCTTCGTCGA